GTGTGTGTGTGTGTGTGTGTGTGTGTGTGTGTGTGTGTGTGTGTGTGTAGCTACTACAGGAAGTCTTGAGACACTTCCATTAGACCTACATAACATGCCGGGGATACAGTTCAATGGTAGAGCACTTGCCCAAGAAACATCCCAGCTTCATTCTCTAGTACAAGAAAAGAAGAAGAAAAGACACTCCTATCTCAGTATGGTGTCTCACATCTATAATCTCAGCACCCAGGAGGCTGAGACAGGTAGATTAGTGCAAATTCAAGGCCAGCCTGAACACCACAGTGAAATTCTGTCTCAAAGGCAAAAAATTATAAAACAGAAACAAGTAAAAGATAAAAATAAAATGAAAAACCAAAGTCAAGGAAAAAAGGCAAGAAGAAATAGTACGGTTACATTTAGTTATCTCTTAAAATGACTTGCTATAAATTATAAGTATATATCTTTTATTACTGGTGCTAATGATCAAACCTGGGGCATTATACATGTTACTGATACCTACATCCCAAGTCCCAAAAGGTATATCTTCTAAACTAAACGTAGGAGACCACTGATGAGATGGGGAAATTCCTAAACTCATACAGAAGAAGAAACAATTACCTAACCCATCTAGTACCCAGTCTGGTATAGTACAATCAACCAAGTCAAGGTAAAGTGAAAAAAATCATTAATTCATTTTAATGACTTAGATGTAAAACATGTGACCCCAATAAAGATATGTCCAATTTTCCCAGGTACAGTCATGATGAAGTCTTTTAACTAATATAGAGATTTTGTTGGTAGCATGATCCATAATCATCCTTCCAACATCTGATGAGGCCTGAGCCTGAGAGAGGTCATAACTTTAAAATGTTTTTACCTATCTTTGGCTAGCTGACTTGAATTACTAGAATTTGCGTGTGCTTCAGTGTTTTCCCTGCATGTATGTAGCATATCACACATGTGTTTGGTGCTTGTGGAGGTCAGAGGTCAGAAGAGGGCATCAGAGCATCTGGGACAGGAAGTACAAACAGTTGTGAGCTGCCATGAGGACGCTAGGAAACCTGGGTCCTCTACAAAAAGAACAAGCGCTCTTGCTCTTAACCACTGGGCCAGCTCTCATGAATTTTTTTTTCCCAAGTATAGGGTCTTCAAAAAATGTTTCTAATAATTTATCCATTGGTTCTACAAAGAATGCTGATTGATCCACTCCATGATAATACTTCAAAACTTTTTATTTGGCACGTATGCTCAAGTACGCGCAGGCATGTGTGTCTGTCAAGCATACGCAGCTACACTTGGAGATCAAAGGAGAGCCTCAGACCCCTTCGACTGGCTGTGAGTTGCCTCATGTGGGTGCTGGGAATCAAACACTTCTTCTGAATGAGCAGTGACAGCTCTCTACCGTGGGGCCATCTATCTAGCCCGAACACCTTTATTTTTGTTTTTGTTTTAGAAGAGACATGGTTTCTCTGTATAACAGTCCTGACAATCCTGGAACTCACATTGTAGACCAGGCTGACCTCGACCTCAAAAAGCTGCTTGTCTCTGCCTTGTGAGTGCTCGGATTAAGGTGTATGCCACCACTTAAAATTCTCTTCTTGATTTTTATAATTAATCTTTGCATAGTGCTGTTTTATAAAAACACTTTCACATGAGATATCCCTATCTTACAGAACAGTGAGCACAGGAAGACTGTAAGGACACACTCAAAGGCCAAATGACCTAAATCCCAAAAGAGTAGGCTCTGTCATGCTGATTTCTGCATGTCACATTCCTTAGCTGAACGTACTGCTCTTAAAATATATGACATGCTAACAGTCTGGACCCTTGTCAGACATGATGAGCATTTACCATATATGACACTGCTGTTGTTGCTGTTTTACATTTCTGAAAGGAAAATAACATTTTCCATCAATATGAGGGTATTTTCTTTCCTTTTTGGGGTTTGGGCATGGAACCTTACATATGCTGGACAAGTGCTCTACCACTGAGCTACTGCTTCCCCTGTCCCAATCTGTGGGATGTTATTTTTAGCTACAAACTACAGAACAGAGCAGGATTTAAGTGGCTAAGTGATTTGTCCAAGTTTGAGGTTTCTCAAAAAGAAAAGTGAAACTGTAAAAAAGGAACTAAACAACATGATACAAGATTGGAGAATCTCTTTCAAAGCTGCTGCTCTTCTGGCTTGATTTTCTTGTAGCAAACTATGTGGGGCATGATTTTTAAAAATAAAATTAAAAAGAGGAAATGATACATATGCACCACAAAGTGTTTAGGAGTATAGCTCAGTGGCGGTGGGGCAGTGAGAATATCCTTACTGCTCAACCATCACCACTACCCACGTCCAGATCTTCATCACATCCTACTCCCTTGGGGGTGAATACAGAAAATGTTCTGCAACAAATGCTGAGACGTAGAAAGCTGTAAAGTAAGTGCCTCTCTCTGAGGACAACCACAGCTGCTTCACGACCAGCAGCGAGCCCCTGCCTACCAGCTACTTCTTAAACTGTAAGAGACTTATCTTTCATCTAGTCAAGGCAGACATTATTCATTCTTCCTGAGTTAGAGCAAGAACAGGGACAGGAACATTAACTTTCTACTTCCAGAACAAAACCCATCAATTTCCCACTGATGTGGCCACTAGATAGATTCCCAACTACAACTGCAGCTCTGTCTGGGAACTGGAACTTCTGTCGTGAGGAATCCAAAAAAGGGGCCAGTGTCAAGTTGGCCTGATTCTGAGGACTATACCCGCTGTCTCTTCCTAGGACAGTATTTCATGTGATATGGAAGTTCTGGCCAGTGGGTCCCTATGTCCCTAAGCTGTTAGGGACCTCAAAACCTAAATTAGCCTGTCTTCCACGAATTATATGTTTATAGTACCACTGATTCCAAACCAGCATCTAAAGTCTGGTATGTGAATCGCCTGGAAGCCCTGCTAAAACGGAAATAGCTAATCCACACCCTTACACTGCCGGGTTCAATTACTCTGGGATGAGACCTGAGAATTTGCATCTCTGACAAGTTCCCAGGAGATGCTGATGCTACTGATCTTAAGGCCAGGCTTGGAGAACCTGTGGTCTGTCTTTACCCAAGTTTTCAGTCAACTATTATCTACTGAAGGCTAAGAAAAAAGACAGTTAAATAATTGAGAACCCCAAATAGAGCACCTTGTGTTGCCATGGGGAAAGTGAGTACAGCAGCAATACCAGGGAAGAGCATGAAGGCCAGAGCATAGTCGGTGCCAACAATGCCAGGAAGGGCAGGCTGAAAGTGGCCTGTAATGATCAGACTGAGACACTGAGTCTTTAGACTTCTGCATAAGTATATAAATGGTATCTTAAATTTTGTTGGATTACTATTCAAATTAGGATGCATTCTCAGAAGATTGACATTACTGGAAAGAAGGCTGCTACTGAGGAGAAAGAAATTTTAAGCTGGAGAAGAAATAATTCTCAGTTTGCTGTAATAAGAACTGCAAAATAAACTAAGCCAGTGGAGATCCCAAGCGCACAGAAGCAGGAATGAAGACCATCCTTGCTTCCTGGGTTCTCACTTACCTGGGCAAAGGTGATGGCTTGTTGTGGGTAATAGACAGAGGCACCTAATCCCATGAAAAAAGGAGGGTACACCAGCTTCTTTAGTTTTGAACCTGATCGATTAAAATGTGGTACACTATCAGATGATTCAATACACAATTTAATGCCAAACAATATATCTTTGACCATAAATTGAAATGTTAGTTAATAGTACATACAACAAAATGAATCACTACTTCTTTAGGGCTTTGTGACATAAACTATACATTTCACCCATTTAAAGTTCAAACTATAATGACTTAGTATATTCACAAAGCTATATAACCATCATCACAATCCACACTGATATTCTCAAAAGAATCCCCCACCTATGATGGTAAAACACATGTTTAGCATGCACAAGGCCCTGAAATCCCCAGCACCAAGAAACAATGAAAGGAAGGTAGGAAGAAAAGGACGTGGGAGGGAGGGAGGGAGGGAGGGAGGAAAGGAGGAAGAAGGGAAGCTGGCAGAAGCCAGCCAGTCAGCAACATCCCACATCCCTACCAACAACCACATAAGGCTGAAAGAAACCTATTTTCAATCTCGATGATTTGTCTACTCTGGCAATTTCATATATACACAGTCATATAAAGTGTGACTGTTTGTGACTGACTTCCTTCACTCAACAAGTATTATTACAGAGTTATCATTTATTAATTATTAAGGTATCAGGCAATGGTGGCAGATACACACCTATAATCCCAGCACTTGGAAGGCAGAGGCAGGTGGATCTCTGAGTTCGAAGCCAGCCTGATCTTCGAACAGAAGTGAGTTCCAGGACAACCAGAGCTACACAGAGAAACCCTGTCTCAAAAATAATCAAAAAATAATAATTATTAAGGCAAAGTAGTCTAAGTTGGCCTACAGGCATGTACTGTTCTGCCTTTTTTCCAGGTTTTGTTTGTTTATGCTGTCTTGTTTTTCTGGATTCATTTTACTTTTTGAGACAGTCTCACTATATAGCCCAGACTAGTCTTAAACTTGTGATATTTCTGCCTCTGCCTCCTATATGGTAGGATCACAGGTGTGGAGATCACATTACAGTGTTAAGACTACCTGCACACCCAACTTGAGAACATCATGTCTAAGGAAACCGGGGAAAAAATTTTTAAAAATATAGTACTTTTGCTTCTAGGGTTTGACTTTTTAAAACAAACTGATCATCTTCCTATTTAAACACGAATGACAATTGTTCCTTTCCTTTCCTTCCTGAGATTTCACTAAAGCAGCAGTAAAAAAATAAAACACAGATCAGAAATCCTGTAAAGAAGAGAAAACGTATAAAGGGGGCACTGGCGAAATCATCCAGGATGGGGACGGAGAAGAGTGGTAGATTACTTGTTTAGCTTAAGGAAAGCCCTTGGTTTCATTTCCAGGACCACAAACCACAAAAAAGTATTAACTGCTAAGAATATAGCACAGTTGGCAGACAACTTGTCTGGCATGCATGAGGTCCCAGGTTGACCACACACACACACACACACACACACACACACACACACACAAACACCAATTTAAAAAAGTATGAATGGAAATGAAAGACCAGCTGGTATTGTCTTGAAGAAGGGATGTGTGGCAAAGGAGAGAGCATATCTTCCCCAGATACAGAAGGGAATGACTATGGGCAATAAAGTGGGCAACCAGGAAGCAAGACAGGAAGACAAATACAAGTCCTGGCCTTTCCCTCCATGTCATCCAGTGCAAACTTGCTCTGGTGTCATGACAGGTAATTTTAAAAACAGAGGCAAAGTCTCACTAAAAAAAAAAATCATGAATTTTATGCTGAGAACCAAAACTGCACACACACACATATACACACACACACACACACACACACACACACACACACACACACCAATGTTAGTGCTTAAGAATAAAGACCTTCTCCAGACAAAGTCAACTCCCATCCAGTTTACCCTAACATAGAACCTGGCTACCAGCAAGCCATATCTATACACAGAATTCTTACTAGCATTTCAATTGCCTCATTCAGAAACATGACTGGATAACCAGGGATCAGCAGACATTGGGGGAGAGCCTGTAACATAAAAGAGAAAGACCAAGACAAGCAAGAAGAAAACAAAAATGACCCAACAGGAAATAGACCTTTTCAAAGAAAGCTAAACCTGTTAGGTATCATGAAATCAACAGAAGAAGCTACTAGACTAACAGAAAACAAAGTTCAACATAAAAACAAACATCCAGAGAACAAGACCTCATGGAACTGGCCAAAGGAAAAATAAAGACTGAAAGAGAAAAAAACAAGAAAACACAAGACACATTATGGGCATTTAGAAAGAACTCAACTATTAATTAAAAGCATTCAGGGAGGAAAAAAGTGAATCCTCAAAGAAAAAGCAGATACATATCACTTGAACTAAAGAAGGCACACCACCAAAGGCTAAAAGTATCTGTGTGTAGTCACCCATGCTATAGAAATTCAGAGCACTGGAAATCCTCAAATTTTCCAAGAATTAATTTTAAAAAAAAAAAAAAAAAAGGAGAAGCAACAAGTATCCAGACTGGCTATCCACTCTGCCATCTGCCATGCCAGATGCTAGTTTGGATGGAAAAGAACTCCAAGCTATCCAAACTGTCAGCATGAGGAGCAGACATATAAGGTGTTAAAAGTTTGCCTCTCACATGTAATTATTTTAAAGCAACTTAGGCAGGTACTTCAACAACATGGCTGAATACACCAAGGAGAAGGTGACACAGAAGCCCAGAAAACGAAGCTTCATACTGAGTATGAAAAATCCATGACAACCGTGTGTTAGTCTCAGGCCAGGTTACAGGCCGATATAGAACTAGGAAGAAAGTGCACTACATACAACAATCAGCAGGATACGAGGTTTGGAGAAACCGAACAACGAAGTGGAAACAAACTGGTAGAGGATGAGTCAGGAAAATGCGCAGGACTTTTCTCCTCAGGAGAACCAAGGGCATACCAGTGCGGTGCTCACCCTCCTGACTCTAAGATACACCTGATGCACAGAGGTCTCAAATTAGAGCAACCGCCAGAAAACTATGCCTCTCTCTCTTTTATGGTGGTCAGATTAGAGCTCTTTGCTGGGATATTTCTATTTTGAATTTTTGTTTGTTGTGTTTGTTTGAGAGAGAATCTCACTCTGTAGGCCAGGCTGGCCTGGAACTCACTATGTAGCCCAGATTGGTCATAAAGCAATCTTGCCTCAGCCTCCTGAATGCTGGAATTATAGGTGTGAACTATCACACCAGGCTTCTAACTGAAATTTTCGTAGTATCTGCATTTTATGCCATAAACGTTTATTTTACAACTAGTAAAATTTCATATAGATCATAAAAAATAATCTCTTCATAGAGAAGCCTTTTATTACCATTTTGTGATACAGCAGTAGAACAGAGTGGTATTTTCCTGTGCTTGGGATAGGGCCTAGGGCCTCAAGCACGCCGTGCAAGCATTCTGCCAGAGCTAGGTGTCCCAGCCCTACAGTAACATTCGGGGATACTTACTAGGGTCTTTCATTTTAAGCATTTTTAAAGTTTTTATATCATCACTAACTGAAGGTGTGATACCTGTTTATAAACTACCAAATCACTGTCTGCTTGCTGTGATTAACAGTCTGACCGCAACAGCTGAAACATTTACAGTTTGTCAGGCGTAAAACACTTGGTTTACTCTTTCTGTACCAAAGAGCAACAGATATTTGAACTGGCAGATGTGCTTATTAAGTATAACTAATTTATTTTTCTTACCAAGAGTATACAATTTCTACATATGTTTAAAATCAAATGAAATGGGATGAACAAGGAAATGAATTATATGTTAAGAAGTCCACAATCAGGAACCAACTAATCAGAAAACTATTAATATAGATAAAGAACCTATCATATATCCCATATAAACTGACGGAATAAACCTGCAAAAACTGCACCTACCTCTAGCAAAAAGGAGTCCAACAAAACCAGCAAAACCAATAACACCAAGTCTTGGGAAAAATCCAGGAGGTGCGTTTTGGAGATATTCATAGTTGTCTACAATAGAATCAGATTAGGAAATAACTCCATAAATTACTCATTAAAATCAAAAACAAAAGTCTCAGACATAACCAGAACATATAGTATCCAATGTTTCCCAACCACACACCCTTGACTTTCTGCTAACCAACATCTGTTTTGGTTTTTTTTTTTATTTAAATCTGGTTTCATTTAGTATGGAGTGGCCTTGAACTCATGATTCACGATCATCCAACCTCACCTCCCAAGTGTTGGAATTAGAGGTGTGTTTTAGCAAGTCCAGACCACACATTTTAAAGACATTCTTGCTATGCTGCACACAGAGAATTTAAGCTTGCTTTGTATCCCAAACAGGCCTGGAACTGAATCCTGCTTCACCTGAGCGATGGGATTACGAATACACACCACCAGGGTCAACTGTGCCTGTATGCTTCTCTTCAGCACATCCTTTCGGGAACCAAACACATTCAACTCAGAAAAGCAAGCATCCTTTGGCATCTGAACTCAAGAACAATACATCTGGATAATGAAGGAAATTCTGTACTGGCTAGGTCCTTGTCAACTTGGCACAAGCAAGGGTCATCTGGCAGGAGGAACCTCAATTGAGAAAATGACTCAGTCAGAATGGCTTGTAGGCAAGTCTATAGGGCATTTTCTTGATTGATGGCTGATCATGTGGGAGGGCCCATCTCATTGGGGGTGGACCAACTCATGGGAAAGTAGCCCTGGGTGCTATAAGAAAGCAAACTGAATGAGAAACCTTGGAACACACAGTCCTAAATGGGAAGTCTCTATCAAATCCGACCTCTCAAGGCTCAGAGAACCCCACAGAAGAGGAGGCATAGTGAGTATAAAAGCCAGAGAGAATGGAGGATATCAAGGAAACAAGGTTCTCTAAATCAGCATGAGCAAAGCTCACGTGGACCCACGGAGACTGAAGCAGCATGCACAGGGCCTGCATGGGTCTGCACCAGGTGCTTTGTACATATGCTATGGCTTCCAGTTTAGTGTTTCCATGGGATTCCTAAGTGTGCAAACACGTGAGTATCTGATTCTTGTGCCTTCTTTTGGGCACTTTTCCTTCTGTTTATTTTGTCAAATTCCAGTGTGTTAGTTTTTGTTTTATCTTATTATATTATATTATGTTTTACTATCTCTCTGAAGCCTTTTTGTTTTCTAATTAAACAGAAAGGGAGTGGATACAGATGGGAAGAGATGTGGGGAGAAACTAGGAGAAGAGGAATGGGAAACTGTAATCAGGATATAGTATATGAAAAAAATCTACTTTCAACAAAAGAAAACATTGCATTAGTGTGAAAAAGAAAAAGAAAAAAAAAGCAGGCTGAGCAAGCCATGGGGAACAAGCCAGTAAGGAGCATTCCTCCATGGTCTCTGCTTCAGTTCCTGTCCTGACTTCCTCCATGATGGGCTGTAAGATAAACTCTAAGCTGGAATAAACCCTTTCCTCCCCAGCTTGCTTTTGGTCATGGTGTTTTGTCACAGCAATAAAAAGCAAATCAGAACAAAGTTGATGCTGGAAATAAACAGCCACTCTTGGTGGTGATAGAATTTAATAACTTAATAATAAACACAGCAGCATCCTAACACTCATCAAATAAGTAAGACAACACAAGACCTTATTTGCCATGCCTAAGTATGTCTTCAGCCTTGGATTTGCATGATGGCTCCTCTCCTCTCCTCTCCTCTCTATGGAGCCAGTCTCACAGCGAATCAGTGCCTGCTTTGGCACTGTCTCCTCTGGAAAGCTCATCCTAAGCTCATCGGCACAGACCCTGCCTCCTCTGAAGTGCCACCAGATGTTATTCTCCGTACCACCCTTGCTATCTCATCCTCGGGCACCTTGTATTTAAGCATTCATTTGAGTACATTCTCCCCACACAGAATATATGTTCCCTCATGGTGGATTGCTTAGACATGTTTTAAGACTGCACATGAAGCCAAAGCCTAGCTTCTTCTGGCTAAGTGCCTTAGCTGTGACTGCTGGAAAACGGACTCACTGTCTTGGCACAATAGAATGCTTCTTCCTAGGAGTCTTTGTAGTAACTCTGTGTTCAGGAGGAGAAAATCGAATATCTCAAATAATACCAGCTGCCATTAATCAGTGGGAAATGACAGGTTATCAGTAAGAGTAACTCCTCAGTCTTATTCTACCACGAGAGCAAAGCCCTGGGAAAGCAAGACCCTAATATGCTGAGATGTCCTAAAGAGAAAAGAAGCTCAGTTCCTTCCTGTATCTAGATTAGTACACCCTCTTTTTAAAGTTTTTTGTCTTTGTTTTTTGCTTTTTTTGGGGGGGGGAGCAGGATCTCTATACATAGTTCTGGCGGCCCAAGAGCTCACTATGTAAAATAGGCTCCCTTGAAATTGTAGAGTTTCATCTGTTATGGATTTGCTGCGGGGTCGAGACCACGCGACAGGTCCACAAACCAAGGTGGCTGGTCCCCAGTGAGTGCTGTGGGCAGATGGCAGGTGGGAGGCACAGATGCTGGAGTCTCCGGGACTGCCGGAGTCCCAAAAGCAGCCAGTCCCAAGCGGGGACTGCGCACGAGACCATGAGGCAGGTCTCCATGTGACTGCGGCCGGAGGGCGAGAGAGACAGATAAACATACAAAGTAAAGTTAGACATTTATTAGATGGGTTATGGAGGGGAAGGAAAAAGGGGTGAAGGGGGGGAGAGGGGTTGAGAGAGAGAGAAGAAAAAGAGGGAGAGAGAGGGAGAGGGAGGGAGGGAGGGAGAAATGGAGGGAGGAAGGGAGGGAGAACAGGAAGAGAAAGAGTGAGGCTCTGAGGCAGCAAGCAGGATGGGAGTGGTCGTGGTTTGTCTCTTAAAGAGACAGAACAATCATTACACCATCTGCCTTTGCCTTTGCCTCTGCCTCTGCCTCTGCCTCTGCCTCCTGAGTACTGGGATTAAAGGCATGCACCACCACGCCTGGCCTATGCAACATATTAATGACAGCTAATGAATTACCATGATTCAGAAAATCTTGTGAGGAGTAAGCACATTGTATTGCATTGCAATTTTTTTTAAGCACTGGACCTCACAGATGCTAAAAAAACATTCTGCTACTGAACTACATCCCAAGCCCTGAACATTTTTTTTTAATTCAGGGACACAATTACTTGCTAGCCCAACAATCCTAATAACATTGTAGAGATTCATGAACTACTATGAAACTTGATTCTAACAGGGATTGTCTTCCAGAAAACATCTAAATAGCTCTAAATTCTCCATACAATTTCAATGACTCTATGGTCTCCAGCACATATTCACGAAAACCCAGTTCAGTAGTTCAATAGGAAGAAGTAACCGATTATGCCTAATTAAAACTCAGCTTACCTACTCCCCACTGGACGAAGCGATCCACCTTGGGTTTAGTATGGGAGTATATTTCCTAAGAAGATAAGAAGAAATCGAAAGAATAGGGCTTGTCAATTGGAAAGCAGCAGAATATACTTGTCTTTACTGAATAAATTACCATTATTAACACTGTTCAGTACAAGGGATAAATCTGGGGCCTCCAGCAGGCTAAGCATATATACTACCATTGCGCTACATCTCCAACTATTAAGTTTTTAAACTAAGGGATCCACTTTCAGTTTTACTGCTTTCTTTTCTCTTCTGTAATTTCCCTTTCACTAGTAGCCTGGTCATCAGCATGCTTTACTACTGTTATGGGAAGCAAAGACTTGAAGTAAAATGGTTTTGACAATCTACTCTTCTGACTCCTAAGACTGAAGGAAATAAGAAGACAGAAAATTGAGTGGTTAGAGGGATAGCTCAATGGTTAAGAGAACACACTTGTTTTGCAGAGGACAAGAGTTCAATTTCCAACACCCATGTCAAGTGGCTGACAACTACATAATTCAAGCTCCAGGAGGATGCAATGCCTCTGTTCACAGGCACCTGAAGGCAGGTGTACATAGCCACACACGTAGACACAGACACACACATTTAAAAATGACAAAAAAAATTCTAAAATAAGACAAAATTGATATTCTTGATAATCAGAGATGATTCTTTCCCCCATGAGGCTATTAACACCATCTTTCAAATTAAGTCTATTTTATGATTTGCAATACTTTTAGAGCCTACATTTGGAAAATCCTTCTCTGAAGCAGGAATGGGCTGAGACCAATGAGTTGATAACTCAATTTTAAAAAGACATCCCAATCCTAAAGTAAACAAACTTATCAACATTCTTCTAACAATACAATGGTTTTGAGGAGCTAAAGATGTATCTCAGTGGCAAAGTGCTTACCTAGCATGAGTAAGGAACTGAGTTTCATCACTAGCTCTGGCCAGCAAACAAATATATAAGTCCCCACCCCCAAAGAAAATAAAAGCGCAAATAATAAAATGGATTCTACATGGGCTGGAGCAATGGGTTTGATTGCCAGCACCTGCACGGTGGCTCACAGCTATCTGTAACTGCAGTCCCAAATATTGAATGTGGAGGAGAATGTAAAGAACTGATATCACTTCATTATAAATCAACTATTTTTTAGACAAGATCTCCTAAGTAAATTGGGAGCATGGAGACCATGGAATAGGGTAGAAGGGATGGGGAGAGGAAGAGAGGGAAGTGAGGAAAAGTATATAGCTCAATAAAAACAATTAAAAAATTAACTATGGGTTTCTTTCCACAGGAGCCAGCTACCTCGTTTTCTTAGGATGGAACCTCTCCCTGGGACCTGGGTCTTGCTGATTAGGCTAGGCTGGCTGGCCAGTGAGCTCCAGGGATCTACAAAATTCTGTTACCCTACCACTGAGATTGCAAGTGTATGCCATCACGCCTACCTTTTAGTGGATACTGGGGCCTGAACTCCGGTCCTCACTCAGTAACTGAGTCATCAGCACAATTTTGATATACATTTTTACTTTATATTCATTTCTTTCGATTAATGTCTCATGTTTTATACTACAAACCAACAAGGTAATTATTTGCCCTCTGCTCTCCAGTCAAGATGCCACAACCCTTCTTGTGAGAGGGAAATTCCCCTTGCTGCCACCAGGATGCCAAATTTCATTGTATCTGCTCTCTGGTTAGAACTGAAGAACACTTATAAGTTAGACACTCTTAACTTAGGACTCTTTATTACACCTTTTTCTAAAAACACGCAGTCAAGGCTGGGCATGATGGCTTACATCTGTAATTCCAGCACCTATGCTGGTCAGTGAGGCAGGAAGATCACCAGCCAGTCTGAGGACAATGCAGTAAATTCCAGGCCAACCCTAAAGAGTGAGATCCTAAGAACCTCAAATAAATAAATAAATAAATAAATAGAAATTAATTAATAAATAATGAAACTAAAAATTAAAACATACAACCAATATAGACTTTTTACTATTAACTCTTAAGTAGCTGTACCTGACACCAACTTGTATATGGCTCACAATGATGTCGGAGTTGCGAGAAGTTTTCTTCAAGTTGAGTCCTTGGCTCCTCCACATATTTAGATTGACCCTCAGGAACTGAGTAGAGTGAAAGCTACACATATTAAAAACAAAAAAGCATATGCTATGAGATCGTGTAACATGACCAATTTTATAGGTTAGCATCGCTAATAATTTATAAATTAGTTACCTTCAGGGTTGGACGCAACCTCTAACTTTACTTCAGATGATCTTTGTACCTTGTTTCCTCAGTAAGGATAAGGACAAGAAGGCAGGACTACAAAGGGCCCTGACTTCTCCTGATCTACTCTATCTATTGTTTTGTTTTGGTAGTGTGGGGGTAATTATTGAACCTAGGGCCTCAAGCAGGCAAGGCAAGCACCTACAGTCCCTCTACCCACTTTACAGACTGGTAACTGGTATTTTACCTCAGACGCAAAGTGGAAAGCATCCTACTGCTCTAAGAGGTGAATGAAGGTTTATTTGCGGGGAGGACACAGGTCATGGTGCATGTGTAGCAGTCTGAACAGCTTTCTGGAAGTCATGGCGCATTGTGGCAGTCTGAAGACAACTTTCTGAGTCAGGTTTCTTCTACCATGTGGGTCTCAGGGATCGAACTAAGTCATCCAACTTGGCAGCAAATGTTTTTATTATAACTGAGTCATATTACCAGCCCTTGAGTTTTGTTTTGTTTTCTTAAGAAAAAAGCTGAGAGGAATTGAAGAATAACTGGCTATCTGAATCAAATATCAGAATGCTACTGATCAAAGCAGGTGAGCAAATCCATTGTCCACCTAGAAGAGTCTTCTCAGTAGGCACTACTAGTTCTAAAGCCTGAGGGGGGAAGAAAGGAAAAGGGCAGCTAACAAGCTTCACATAAACACCATTAAGAAACCTTGCCGGGCCACTAGTGACTTCTGTACATCATTTTATTACAAGGTAACAGAAATTGAATAAAATAAAAAATCCAAATAATTACTGTGAAGTACAGAACAAAAAAAGGATATAAATAATGGAGAGAAGATGTCTTAGTTCACTGATCTATTATATACAAATATTTATTTAAGCATCTCTAATCTTGCTAGGAACCAGAAAGAACCCAGGCACTTAAATCCTTTGAAAGAAAAATGTGAAAAGTTTTCTTAACTTGATAAGCAGTCCAGACTCAGGCAGGCCCCTCTGGAAAGTGAGTTGTCCAGAGCCCCATAACTGAACAATGTGCAGAGAGTGGAATATTTTGGAACCCTCAGTCCTAAACGGAATGGATGTCTTCTCCAAACCCCTCCTCTCGGGGCTCTGGGAAGCATACAGAAGAGGAGAGTTGTAAGAGCCAGAGGGGATGGAGGATTCCAAGAAAACAGTGTCTTTCAGACACTGTATGACTAAAGCACACATGAACTTAGCATGCATAGTGTCATGATTGTTCTGTCTCTTTAAGAGACAAGCCACGCCCACTCCCTCCCCCATCTGCTGAGACAAGCTGATCTTCAGCTCTCTCTCTCTCTCTCTCTCAGAGAGGCAGCTTCTGTCTCTCCGACTCTTTCTCTCCCTCCCTCTCCCTCTCTCTCTCTCTCTCTCTCTCTCTCTCTCTCTCTCTCTGCTCCTCTCTCTGCTCTTCTCCCTTTCTCCCCTCCCTTCCATAACCACTAAATAAATATCCAATGGCGTGCCTATCCGTCTGTCTCTCGCCCGCTGCCGCCTGCGTGGTCTCGTGCGCCCTCCCTGCCTGGTATCTCGGGATCTGCTGCCCCCTGCCTGCCACCACATGGCCCGCTGCCTGCAGCGGCTTGGGGACCTGCAGCATTTCTGCTGCCTGCCACCACCAGGGATCTCGCAGCATTTTTAATAATCCATTACACATAGGGCCTGCACAGGTTCAAGCTGAGATAAGGAAGTAGACACAGCCCCCCATCCCTAACCATGAAGCTATCTCCAACTGACCACCTCTTGCAAAGAAAAAAATTGGTTATCTCCAATGAGTCTCACTGGAGATTAAATACACTTAAGGGCAGGTCCCATGCCTTGCAGTAGATGACCAACACAAAACAAATTCAATGATATTTTTATAGACTTTTGTCCCATATTGTTTCATTTGGGCATTTTTCTGTTTTACTGGCCTTTTGTTTTTATGGAGAGAGAATGGTTTTTCTTTGTTGTTTTAAATTATAATTTGCTTGGATTTTTTTGTTTGCCTACTTGTCTTCTCAAGAAAGAGAAGTGTAGAGCTGGATGGGTGGGAAGGAGGAAAGGATCTGGGAGGAGTTGAGGGAGGGAAAACAGTGATTAGAATATATTGTATGAAAAAATTTCAATAAATAATAAGTACTTACTAAGAAAACAAAAAAGTGAGCTTTGCTTACAATCTGGGATAGAGTAAGCTCTCCACTAAAAATTAAATCTATCTATGAGCTATACCTAGCAACATTCAACTATCATCTGTGGAAAAATCAGAGTTCAGAAGTTTTCCACAGAGAAAACAAACTCTCAGGAAATGTATGTCTTCTTTTCAAATATTTTCTAAGTGTGCTAAGGGTATATGTTAATATCCAGTACCTCAAAGAGTAGAACTACAAACTTTTTATCATTTGATACATAATTTACAAAAATTCTCCTAACTAAATCCGATGTTAATTATGCACCAGACAGTATCAGCACATTACCTCATCAACCGTCATGTAATTTTTGTGAGGTGAGTCCTTTTTGGGTGCTGCATAGACTCTGAAGGTGAGCAGGCTCAGGCTGGCTGGCCCCACACATCTCTGAATTACCTGAAATACAAAAGAAATCTTAAATCTTTTGTCCATGCTACATACAAAGTACTACAAGGTAAATAGGCCGATAACCTCAGACATTCCCACTCAGAAAAGCTTACTGTTCTTTCTGAAAAGTAAATGCATTTCTGAAATTCAGAGGATGTCAAAACTTAAGCATATATTCTGAAAGAAGTCAAGTTTCAAGATTTTATCTTAATTTCCTAAAGACAAAAGTTCTAAAGCCTTCAACTAAAAAAAGACACTAGGCAAAAGCTAGGCAAATTGATATCAATCTATATTAAATATATATTACATCTCTGAAAAACATCTAACTTATCATTTTTCACTCACACCTGCCTTTCTTTCTGTACATCGTATCTCAGGAATAGTGACAACCTCACCAGAAACTGAGGACATTTGAAATTCACTCCCAAAATATAATAGATCAATATTAACTACAATCACTATGCTATGCAATACATCTTTCCAACTGTATCCTCCTAAAATTTTGTATTCTTTGACCAATAACCTTCCTCAATCCAAATCCCAGACACTGGTAGCTATCATTCTCCTATCTGCTTCTATCAGTTCAGTATTTTTAGATTACATTTAAATAAAGGGAAAATATGAAATAATGAACAAGTTAGTTACTTCCATTTAGACACACTATAATACATATTTCAAAGCATCATATATATACATACACATATATATATATATAAAATACATGCCTTTTCCCCATTTAAAATTAAAAATAACAGCTGGTGGTAGCCCACACTTTTAATCCCAGCACTCAGGAGGTAGAGGTAGGTATGAGTTCAAGGCCAGCCTGGCCTACAGAGTGAGTTCCAAGATAATCAGGGCTACATAGTGAAACCCTCTCTTAAAAAACTAAAAAAACGAAAATAAATTAAAATTAAATCCCAATGTCATCTTCATTACCACCGTCAATCCTTCTGGTCACTAGGCTCTGGCGACTGTACCTATTAAATGATATCACTTCTACTTGCTCTTCTTTATTCCCTCCTGTACAGTGCTTTCTGGAGCTCTCATTTCTTTCCTGAATTGTTTTTAGCAGCAACCTAAATAGTTGCCTAGCCCTCTGTGGATTCAAAAGCACCACCAGATTCACTGCATCTGCTTCCATCAGTTGCTAGATGCAGGGGTTCTATGACAACATTTGAGATAGTCACCAATCTGACTACAGGGCAAGGGCAGTTCAGGCACCCTCTCCACTACTGCTTAGGGTCTTAGCTGGGATCATCCTTGTGGAATCCTGGGAATTTCTCTAGTGCTTGGTTTCTTGCTAGCCCCATAATGGCTCCCTCAATCAAGAAAACTCTTTCCTTGTTCTCCATCTTTGGGCCAAGCTCCCAAAGTCCAGTTGAAGAGAGGGAGGAGTGATAATATGAGCAAAGAGGTCAAGACCATGATGGGGACACCCACTGAAACAGCTGACCTGAGCTAGTGTAAGCCTTCTAACTCCAGCCTGACAGCTAGGAAACCATCATAGGACTAAACTAGGCCCTCTGAATGTGGGTGACAATTGTATGGCTGGGGCAGACTGTGGGGCCACTGGCAGTGGGACCAGGATTTATCCCTGCTGTTTATTCTGTTTATCAACTGATAAAATGTACCCATAAAGATCAGGCTCCAGTTTAGCCTGTGGGGCATTTTCTTAATTAGTGACTATTGTGGGAGGGCCCAGCCCATGGGGCCACCCCTGGGCTAAGAAAGCAGGCTGAGTACACTTTGGAGAACAAGCCAGTAAGCAGCACCCCTCCAAGACCACTGCATCAGCTCCTGCTCCAGGTTCTTGCCCTGGCTTCCTTCAGTGATGGGCTACAGTGTGGAAGTGTAAGCCTAATAAGCCCTTTCCTCCCCACCTTGCTTTTGATCACAGTATTTCAGCACAATGATAAGTCTAACGAAGACAAGGCCCTTTATTTATTCTCCCAGATACACACCTTTCATCTTCCTAGGCCTTCCATTTAAATTATGTAGCTTTATCCTTTTCAATAAAAGACCTTTTTGTGTGCCTATGGCCATGTGGGGCTTCAGAATCATCGGAGGACTGCTTTAAAAGTGAAGATTCTAGCACCTTCCCCTAAAGAGTCTGACTCCGTAAATCTAAAGGAACCCAATAACATTCCCACCACAAGCCAAGTTTCAGAAACCACCATTCTACAAGATGCTTAGGGAACAGACACTCACCATAAGCTGGTTTGCACAATCAAGTGCCTTATTTTTAAGAACATTTTAAAGACAATGAACTGAAATGAAAATTGCCCAAAACACTAAAAACAATAGCATGATTAATTTATACTCCCGAAAACTCTCCCATCTTAATCCAGGTACAACTAATTTTGTCCTCTTCCTTCTCCTCCTTTCCTGGGGGTGGAGTACCAGGGATTAAGCCTAGGGGCTTATGCATGATAGAAAGTGCTCTATGCAGCACTTGAGCTACAGCCCCAGCCCTGACCGACACTCCACTCTAATACTCAACTACTACCTTAACCTCTATCTCCAGGAACAAATCTGGTCTAGTTTTCTAGGACTGATTTCTTTGTTGTGAGGGAGGGAGTTACAGGCACTTGCAAGACACCTGATGTGGGTTCGGGCACCAAACTCTGACCTTCTGAAAGAACAGCAGGCGCTTTTAACTGCCGAGCCCCTCTTCAGCACGTTTTCTTTTCTTTGTTCTTTTTTAACAATTTCTGGAGTTTTGTTATATGGTGGTGGTGATGGTGGCGGTACCGAGACTAGAACTCAGGCCCTCGGGCATGCTAGGCAAACTCTCTACCCAGTTTATAAGAATCTAGGGCTTATAGCCAGGCCTTTAATCCCAGCACTTGGGAGGCAGAGGCAGGAGGATCTCTGTGAGTTCGAGGCCAGCCTGGTCTAGAGAGCAAGTGCCCGGACAGGCTCCAAAGCTACAGAAAAAATCTTGTCTCAAAAACAAAACAAAAGAAAAACACAAGTACGTATAGCCTTTATTTAGCAAAGTCACCCAATAGACTGATGTTTAAAGTCAGTGTTACTGGGAATGGCCTCTGTAAAGAGAAGTAACGAAAGAAACCAAAGGTTTAAAACATGAGGATTTTTTAAACACATCACAATCTTTGCAGCTTTATCCACAGAAGCTATATGGGATCCCATTTAACAGCTGTTATTTTTGTAATATTAAAATAATTTCAATCAACTTTTTGTTTTTTGTTTGTTTTTTGTTGGTTTTGATTTTTTTTTGGTTTTTTGAGACAGGGTTTCTCTGTAGCCTTGGAGCCTGTCCTGGAACTAACTCTTGTAGACCAGGCTGGCCTCGAACTCAGAGATCTGCCTGTCTCTGCTTCCCAAGTGCTGGGATTAAAGGCATGTGCCACCACTGTGCAGCAACTATAACCTAATTGAAGCAATTTGATTGCAAAACTTGTATGAGCAAATCTATAATGTTTTATTTTTATTTTCAAGTATCTCCCTACCTGGCCCAAACTGGCCTTGAATGCTCCATCCTCCTGCCTCTAGATCCTGAGTGCTGAGATTATGAGCGTATACCATCATCATACCTGGCTCTATTGCTTTAATTATTGCATTGTAGCTATTATATCACTTGGCTCACTGTCATATAACCTGTACATTAAAATGCACAGCTCTTTCCAAAGTTATATAAAAGCATATTAAATCTCTGTGGAAAATAAATATTACCTGAACATTTTAAAAGTAAATATCATTTAAAATTAGATATTCTTATACTTACAAAAGGAAGCATAACCATGTTTTTCCCCCAAATGTTATACTGATTCTTTGATTATTTGTCTTGTCTCCAATAGCTTATCCATTTGAAATAGAATGCACCTATGACTAACGGTACAATGTAGTTCAGGAGTAGGGTACATACCTAGTCTTCAAGACCCTAGGTTCCATCTTCAGCACCACACACACTAAAAACCGTTTCTTTTGACTTTCCAGTCTTAGAGGTAAAATCTGAAATGAGTGAGCTGGAGAGATGGCTCAGTGACTAAGAGCACTGGATGCTCTTCCAGAGGACCCAGGTTCCATTCCAAGCTCCCAGACGGCAGCTCACAACTGTCTGTAACTAGTTTCAGGGATCTAATGACCTCTTCTGCTCTCCGGGCACCAGGTACACACATAAGAGCACAGACATGCAAGCAGGCATAACACTCACAATTTTTAACATGTGAAATGGACTTTTTTAAAAGTCTATGAAAACTGACCACACTTTCAAGGTTTTTCTTGTCCTAAATAATTAACATAAAACCAAAAGATAAAATGTGAATTTTTAAGGTAAAACAAACTAATAAAAATAATCAACAATTTGGTCCAAATAACATTACACAGGTATCCGTAAGAACATATTCACAATTTCTTTAATGTGAATTAAAAATAAAGAGAAACATTTCAGCTGGGCGGTGGTGGCGCACGCCTTTAATCCCAGCACTCAGGAGGCAGAGGCAGGCGGATATCTGTGAATTCGTGGCCAGCCTGGTCTACAGTGCTACTTCCAGGACAGGCCCCAAAGCTACAGAGAAACCCTGTCTCGAAAAACAGAGAGAGAGAGAGAGAGAGAGAGAGAGAGAGAGAGAAAGAGAGAGAGAGAGAGAGAAACATTTCAAATCCACTCGCAACTCTAGAAGCATCGAAAACAGACTACCTTTCCCTATAACAGGCGCTCATTGGGGATGTCTATGTCACACAGCCCCCCCCACCCCCGCCCAGCTCTGTAGGCAAACAAATGTTCTACCACTGAGCTATATCTACCTCTATCCTTACCCAGCTTTTCTATGATGGGCACACATCCAACACAACAGAGACTCGCTCTGGGTAGGGGTGAAAGGGAGGTAGACAATAGACAAGTGGTCACTACCTGTACCATTAGGAATTTTGAAAGGAAATAATATTTCAGTATTGGTTATAAATTTTTTTTAAAAAAATATGTATTTTCGAGAGCTTGTTTTGCCTTCCTTTTATCCACCTCCATCCGAGGCCTGCGGGGCCGA